CGGCCCGTGTTCCCTTCGTGGGGATCGATTCCCTTCCATCGCATGCCGTCGTTTTTAGTATCGTCCGCGGCCCCGCGTTCCATAGATTTTGGAGCGAGCGTGCACGCGGCGTCGTGCGTCGCGTGCACGAGTTCGCACGTGGGCTTCGCAATGCGTTTATCAGACTTGGTTTGCAAAAAATGTTCAGCATTTGCGAGAGACGAGGTGCATCTCGAGAATTCTGACTTGGTCGCCACGCGGTCGTCGTAGATCAGGCTGCCCGAGTCTTGAAGATAACATGTACCACCTTTGCATTCGGGTCTCCCCATGGCTGGCCGCGACATGGTGCCGCGGTCCACTGGCGGTCCCCAGATTCAACGAACCGCTGTCGGGAGGTTGGCCATGGGTGGCTCCAGTGCAGTCCAAGGGGGTCGGTTGGGGATCGCTGCCCTTTTCTTGCCTCGGGGGGAAAAGGAGGCTGTGTGGCTGCATTAGATGGGCTGGGCTCGAGGTTTCGGTTGCTCGAAGGGTGCTGTTGCAAGGCACGAGCTTGTTGCTGGCACGAAACACGATTTCAGCGCGCTCCGTCCAAGGGTGGCTAACGCAACAGCACCCCGCGTCAGCTGGCCCCCCCAACTGGTGGTGTGTGGTGTCGGGTGAGCGGGACTGCAGTGCACGGCCTGCCCCTCTGGGGGTTGCCGGGGTATGGAGGGGGGCCCTGGGGCCCCGTGTCCTCGTGCCGCCCGTGTCACGGCGTCTGGGTTCCTTCCCTAGTCACTGTGCAGGAGCTGGGTCACACTTGCCATCCGTTTTCGCGATCGATCGTGCATTCGTTTGCCCCCCGCCCCAGCCTATCTTTGCCTACGCCCCATGATGGCCCCGGAAGGGTCCCAGGACGGTCCCACGAGAATCCTCCCCTCTCACCCTGCTCCTCCCGCGCCCGGGTCCCGAGGGAGCTCGCGGGGGCCTCGTGCTGCACGCCCCAGTGAGCCAGAAGCAGGCCCGACGCAGTCGATCTTTTCTACCGGACCTTACCCTCGTGCCCCTCGCCGCCTCCTCGTGCAACAGCCGGGGCACGCCTGCCACGTGTGCGTACGGCCCCCCGAGCTGGCCCCACGGGCTGGGGGCCCATCGGGCTCTGCCGCCGTTGCCGCGCCCAGGTGCGGGCGACGCCGGCGTGGTTGTCCGCCTCGACGAGGAGGCCGCCCGCGGCGGGCGCGGCGCGGTGGCCCGGGGCTCGAGTGCCTTCTCTTGGAGGGAGGGGGTGGAAGTCGGGGGCCCCCAAACAGGGTGGTGACCACACCGTGCGGTGAGTCGGTGGGGATTCGGGGTCACCGCACTGTTTTGGGACTCGGGTCGTTCTCCGAGGATGTCTCGGGCGACAGGGGCCTATGAGGTCCCAAGACCGTGCGGTGACAGACCGTGCGGTGAGGTCTTGGGGGATTTCGAGGTCACCGCACGGTCTGTCACCGCACCGTTTCGGGACTCCAAAGGAAGGGAGGGAAGGGGAGGGGGAGGCCGAAGTTGATCAGCGGCCCATCTCGGAGAGGGGGGCCAGTGCAAATGCAAGCATGGCGGCCGAATCCGGAGCGCTTCTTTGGCAAGTTGTTCCGGGAACGCTTTCTCTGCTGCCGAGTGCGGGAGGAAGATGAGGAGGAGGAGGAGGAGGAGGATTATGCTGGATTATGCTAGCCTGATCTCCGCAGCTGCGAGGCATGCACCACGGCGACGACTAAAAGCTTCCCCTACCCCAGGCCGTCCCTGGGCGATGAAGTTCGGCTTTGGTCAAAACGGCTTGCCTGTGGTGGGGTGTCGACCTTCCCACAGACGGCTCAAACGTCCAGCCATTGTTCGGGGGTTTCCCTCGACACAGCTCGACAGCAAACCAAACCATCTGTCCTGAGCGTACCTGGCACATCGGCAACAGAAGATCACACGGGGGAGGCATATTAGCCTGTGCCCCTGGGCGCGGGCTCGTTCGATCCTACCTCCGTCTCCCCCCAACCCAACACGGTGGGGCGGGGCGCCGGGAGGCGGAAGGTGGGGAGGCTCCACGGCCCCCCCTTCACCCCCACCAGGCCGGGGTCCGGGGGGGTTGGGTGGGTTCGAGTCCCGCTCAACCGGACTCGAGCCCTCGGAGGTGTCAACGAACCCTCTGCCTAACACTCCTACGTAGGCTGCGAACTCAAGCACATCCGTAACGAGTTTGAATCGCTGTATGTATGCAGCTCGGTGCCATTCAGGGTGCTGCTGCAGTCGAGCTCCTAGCTTGGCATACTGATCGGCGAATTTGTTTCCCTCCCACAGCTCGAGGCCCATCTCGTTTCGTTGGGCTCTCGTGGCATGGGCTTTTACTTTCTCGAAACTGACGCCTCGCGGCCCCAGACCACCGTTTTCAGCGATCAAGACCCAGCAGCGCGCCCACACGTCTCTGTGTGGCGTGGCGGGGCACGCCGCCCACGAGGGCCCTCTCAGAAACCCGTCGATGACCGACTGGCAGTCGGAGACGATGATGATGGGCGGGCAAGCCACCTCCAGCACGCGGAGCACGGCCATCAGCTCGCTCAGGAATATGGATTGCTGCCACTGTGGCCTTGGCAGGGGCCCGTAGCATGCGTACTTCAAGGACATGTCCTCGTTCAGCTGCACGAATGACCAACCTCCGCGTCGTAGGGCAGCGTACTTGCCGTACAACAGGCTGCCATCGGAGTACACTCGGCCCGCGGCGAAACCCGCGAAGTCGCCCTCGACGTGAATGGTGTCGGCGACGGCGATGTCCCACAGGCCGAGCTCCACCGCGGGGTCGTTGGCCAGCCCACGGCCCCAGAGCTGCGCGGACCCTGGCCATGGGTTGGCTCCTCGCTGCACGATGTGGGCGCCACCCACGCGCCGACGCTCCTCCTGCCGCGCCGCGCAGACGAAGGTGCGGTGTCTGTCCGTGCCCTCGCCCTGGTTGCACGCCTTGCAGATGGCGTCGGGTGCCGCTCCTTTGGCATGCAGCCGCGCCTGCGGCCACGTGCCCCCGCACCAGAGCGTCCTCACGCGCGTCTGGTGCGCCTGCGTCCAGCGCCCGCGGCATGGCCGCCGCAGGAGCGCCCCCACAGGCTCAACGAAGACCGAATGCACGTTGAACTCGCTCCCCCACTTGGCCAACCACGCGTCCTTGAGGCCCTGCTCGGTGGCGGCGCGGACGTAGTGATGCAGCTCGTGGAGGGGAATCGTCCTCAGGTCGATGATGTTGGTGCCGATGGCAATCGAATGCGCCGCCTGGGTCATTCAGCCGAGCCTCTTGACCGTCGCCACGAAGGCCCCTGCTGGGCCTCTCACCTGCTGCCACGGGGCCTTCGCAAGGCCCACTCGGAGGACCCACCGCTTCCATGCGGCCTGGAGCCTCGGCACGAGACTCGGGTCGTCCTCTGCTTCTTGCCAGGTCTGCGCCCACGCCAGGATCGGGGACGCGTTGGCCAGAATGCCTGGGTCTACGTCGTCGGCCAGCAGCGTCAGGTACGTGGACCGCCCCTTCGCATTACCAGCCATGGCCGTCGCCACGCTCTGCCGCAGCTCGCCCAGCTTGGTGTCGGCCATACCCAGGACATTCACGCCGTAGAGCAGCGACGGCACCTTGGCGTGCCTGATCACCTTGTGTGCCGGTCCCCCGGATCGCCGGACCCTCGCGATCCGATCCCGTTTGGCGGCGAACTTGACTGCCCTCTTGCTGAAAGCCCCCACTCGCCGGTATCTGCCCGCGGCCGTCGTAACGCCGAGGTGCTTCTCTTCCTTCACCATCCTCACGCCGTGGGTGCGGATGCGCTTGCCGAGCTCCGCGTTCAAGGCCGAGGTCGAAGCCAGGGTGACCGTCTTGCCCCCCTCGCCCCGGGAGACCCGCATGTCCAGGACCACCTCGAACATGTTGATCAGCGTCTGCACAAGCTGGGAATGCCAGTACTGCACGAACTCCCTGACGCCGTGCGTCGCCATCGCCAGGTCGTCGAAGAACAGGCAGGTGTCCGCCCATGGGAAGGCCTCGACGACCCCGTCCAGCTCCATGTATAGGACCATCTTGAGGCAGAGGGGTGCGAACCTTCTTCCTGCCACAATGCCCCTAGCCCAGCGCCGCCCACGCGCGTAGCACCCGTCGAGGACGATGCGCCTCACCATCGCGTAGATCCTGAGGACGACCTTCAGGATGAGGCGGTTCCCGCCTTCCAGACCAGCTCGTGGGTCACGTACTCGAAGCACTTGACCAAGTCGAAGTACGTCACGGCGTACTCCAGCCCCTCCGCGACGGTCGCCTCGCAGAAGAGCGCCTGGGCCCAGGCCGCCCGCTCGCTTGAGCGGCCCTTGGCAGCCCAGTCATAAGCCCGTCTGTTCGCCTCCTCCCAGCGCCTGGCGAAAGGGAACCGGATGGTCTCCCACAACCTCGCCAGCTCTGGGATCAAGCCGAGGTTCCTGTAGCCTCCTGCGGGCTTCGCGAGCAGGTAGAACAGGATGGTGGATTGAGGCTCGGGCCATGGCGACCCTGCCTCCACCGCGTTGAGCACGCTTGCCACGCGCGCTGCCCCTTGGACGCCCCCCTGCTTCCAGAGTCGCGGATGCCAGCCCGACTCTCCGAGGCCCGTCTTGGCGCGGAACTTGTCACTGGCGTCCAGCACTTCCTTGGGCGTGATGGGTGGCGTCCTGTACTCCTCCCTCTCGAGCGCTGTGGGGGCTGGCACCATGGCGCAGTCGGGTCGTACTCATCGCCCCAGATCGCCTCCCAGCCCGCGAGCGAGTGGTCAGCGGCCTCCTGGGGTTTCGCGAGCGCGTGCTCGCTGATGTTCTCGTTCTGTGGTGGCGCAGTCGGCTGCCGCGGCGCGTGCGGCTTGGTCCACTTGTGTATGGCCCCCGCGCTTGCTGCTCCGTGGTCACGTAGCCACCTCCTCCAGCCTGCGGCTGACGCGCGATGCACCAGCCTCCAGCTCCTCCGACTAGCCACGTCCAGGAGGGTCGCGACGCAGTCGATGTATTGCAGCTCCTGAGCCGTCATCCTGTCGACGTCGATGCTGCCCACCGTGTCCACGATGGCGGGCCACTGCGCTGTATCCCAGGTGAGCTGCTCCTCGGCGCCCGGCTGCTCCCCCCCGCGGGGTAGCGCTCCAGCCGCGAGGCGGCTCTGTACCACTTCCGCCTCCTCGCAGGGGAGGTCGGGGAGGGACGTGTCCTCGTTCTCCGACACCAGCGACGCCGCCTCGTCTTCCCACGCGGTGCCCTTTTCACTCTGCGGGCCAACTGCAAAAGGGCACCGCTGCGGTGCGGCGCCCCCAGGCAGGGTCGTCTCCAGCGGCCCCAGCAGCTGCCTCTTCGGTGGCGGGCGGCAGGCCTCCCAGGGAGCCCCCTGGCGAGGCCGCCGCGAGGGCCTCCGGGGCCGCCCTCATCAGCGGCATGACGATCTCGTGGGCCAGCATGGTGTCGGCCACGTGGATTGCCTGCCGCCTCGTCTCGTCGGTCCCGCTGGTCCACCAGCGCGTCACGAAGTTTGCCAGTTGCCTGAGCCGTCGTGACAGCCACTCGGCTGCCTCTGCCCAGGCCTGCTCCCTGGACGCCTCCTTCAGCCTCGGCGCCTCCACGCAGGTCCACTTGTAGATGGCCTGCTCGTAGTGCCCCTGCCGCCGCGTCAACTCCTCTCCCTCGAAGCTGTGGAAGCGGTTGAGGTGCTCCTCGTAGGCCACGCCCAGCGCCCGCCAGTGGCCATCCAGGACGTCCTGGCTGTGCCCTCCGTGCCTCGGCCGAGGGCGAGGCCAATGCGCTGGGAGCGCCGCGCACCCCACGGGTAACTCCAGCGGCTACCGCTGCGGCTTCTGGAGCACGTAGACCATCCGGTCGTCCCCGTGCTGCCTCGCGAGCCGAAGCACGACGGGGGAGTGCGGCGACGCGTTGTAGCCGTTCTGCACCGTCGCCTCCAGCGGCCCGAGGACTAGGCTCTTCGAGACGATGAAGCAGTCTGTGTCGTACTGCTGCCCGAGCATCGTACAAGAGCCCTGCTGCCTGTCGTGCACGATGATCCCGTTCATCCTGCAGAGCAGCCCCGAGTCCCTGATGACGTGCGGGTCCATGTTGAAGTCGCCCCCGAGCACCCACTGGTAGCCAGTGGCGTTGACGACGCTCGCCCACTTGGTGAGGATCAGCTCGTTCCTGCGCGTGAGGCCCTCGCTGGTCCAAAGGTAAGCCGACCCGAAGAGCAGGCCTCCCTTGCACACTCCATCTAGCCATGCCACGGCTAGTCTTCCCCTCGAGGCTGGCGGTGAGATGTCCCAGCTGTTGATACCTCTCCGTGCGAAGTCCATGCCCTGGCGGCGCCGCGTGGCCACCAAGACTCCCCCACTCCAGCCTCCCTCCTTTTTGACGCTCGGCACGATGCCAAGCCTCCAACCCAGCTTCTCCATGCGCCCGACGAACAAGTTAATCCTGTGCTCGTCGGCCTGCAGCTCCTGTGCCATGATGGCGGGCGTCTGCACCAAGTAGCCCACCTGCATCATGACCCGCTCCAGCGTGCCCAGAGAGTTCGCGTTGATGGTGATGAACTCCTGGTAGCCGCGTGCGTCGTCAGGAACACGACGGCTTCGTCCACTGCAGCTTGGAGATGGTGATGCACGTCCCGGCGAACATGCCAGCAAACAGAGCAACCATAGGAGGGGCGTGCACGTCCATCTGCTCGGGCGTGACGCCGCCGTCCTGCATGATCTTGCGCACCGCCTGCTCGTCGGAGCCCGCGGGGAACTCGAGCATGTCCTCCTTGACGACGGTGTCGGCTGCTGCGCGCCGCTTGGGGCGATCTCCCTGGGAGGCGGCGGCCTTGCTTGCCTCCTCCTCCTCCTCCTCCTCCTCCTCCTTGGCTCGCAGACGGCCGGCCTCCTCGGCGGCCTTACGGGCCTGTTCGGCCTGGGCAGCGTTCTCGTCCTCAAGCTTCTTCTGCGACCGCGCGTGCTCCAGCGCCTCTTTCAGCTTGACGTCGCTGTGTCCCTGGCTGCCTCCTCCACCCCCGGTGTGCTTGAGGCACTTGGCAGCCTGTTCCAGGAAGGCCACCGCTGCGCCCCAGCCCGTGCCCAGGCTCGGTACCGAGAGCTCCTCGATCTTCGTGTTGAGCTTCTGCAGCTTGTCCTCGTGACGCTGTAGAACTGCAAGTTCGTCGTCCAGCGCCTTCTGAGCCTTGGCCAGGTCCTCCTCCAGCTTGGTGATGCGCAGCTTGCACTTGTCCCGCTGCTCCTCGACCCTGTTGCGGTCTCGCACCACCCTGCATTCGGTGAAGCACCTGGGCACTCCCGTGTCGATCTGTGCCTGCATCGCGTCAACCCTCTCTTGGAGCGGGCCGATCTTGTCCACCACGAGCTCGCCAAGGATGGGGTCATCCGACATCTTCTTGAGCTCCGCCAGCTTGGACCGCAACGTGGCAAGCTGCTCGGCGGTCGGGTTCTTGTCCTTGTCGGCCTCGTCGGTGGACTTGCTGGTGTCGTCAGCTGTGCCTGCAGCGGGCTTGGCCTTCCAACACTTCCAGCAATAGTCGTAGCCGTCCCCATTCTTGGAGGTGCAGTGCCCGCACCTCCAAGGTCCATGCGTCTGCTGATGCTTGGACTTGGGGGCCATACGCTCTTGCACGCAAGGCCACTTTGAAGTTGGCGCGCAAATCGCCCGCGCTGCCTCCTCAGGCAAAGGGCGGCTTGGGCGCAAAATGGCTGAGGAGGAGGAGGAGGAAGAGGAGGAGGAGGAGGACACCAGCCACCGAACCACCCCATCACAATCCGAAGGCCCCAATTTGCCCTCCATTCCCAGTGGGGGGGGAGGGCGTCGGGGAATATTGGAAGAACAAGCACAGATGGAATGGAACCCGTACCCCCGCAACCCGAAATTCGGGTCTTCGGGGTGGGTTGGGTGTAGTCTGGTAGGTAGTCAGAGAACGAGGAGGAGGAGGAGGAGGACGAGCAGGATGAGAAGGAGGAGGCGGAGGAGGACCAGTGTTAACCCAAGGCGCATCAATGAGGTTGGAATACGCCCTCCCTCCAAGCTCCCTCTTTAAAGGCCCCTGCAAGGGTCATTTCCTCAGGGAATTGCCCCGTTGGGGGACAACCACGCGAAAATCCTGAAGAGTTCGGAACACCATTCTCAGGACTTCAACGCCACGAATCAACCTGAGTGTTACGACTTCGCGATCCGGAATCGTGCCAGAACATCATTCCTGGGATTTCAACACCGCGAAATAACGTAACTGTTTCGCCCCGACAGTCCTGAGTCTTTCCAAAGCACCATGTCTGGTACGTTCACCATGAGAACCAGTAGAACTTTTTTGCGAGTGTTTGAAGCGAATGTGCGTGGCGCCAAGACGAGAGCCACATTTTGAAAATGACGTTTTCTCAACCTTTGAAACTCTGGGAATTTTCTACAAATAATGTGCGCGGCGCTAAGGCGAGATCAACATTTTGAAAACGAACCGCCCTCAATCCGTGAAGCGCTAGCAAATGTTGACGCGAATGCGCGCGCCGCTAAGGCGAGATCCAGTTTTTTAAAACGACATGCCCTCAATCCGTGAAGCTCTTGCACATTATTGGCACGAATGTGCGCGCCGCCAAGGCGAGAGCCACATTTTGAAAACGACCCGCCCTCCATCCGCGAAGCTCTTGCAAATCTTGAAAACGAATGTGCGCGGCTGGCCCTCAATCGGTGAAGCGCTAGCAAATTTTCAAACGAGTGTGCGCGGCCATATTTTCAAAAACGACTTGCCCTCAATTCGTGAAACCTTTCATATGCAATTTTGGAACAAATATGCGTGGCGCTAAGACGAGAGACACATCTTGAATTGATCCGCCCTCAATGCGTGAAACTCTTGCGAAGTTTTAACACGACTGTGCGCGGCGCTAAGGCGAGAGCCACATCTTGAAAACGATCCACCCCCATCTTGGAAGCTGTTGCCACTTTTTAGGCTCCAGGATCATGAGTGGTGAGGAAGTCTCAGGCGACACGTCAGGCCCGCCCTTTCGACTGGGCTGGTCGTGCGAAAAGGAGGAGTTACTTAGAAGGAAATGAAGGAAAGGAGGAGGAGGAGGAAGAGGAGGAGGAGGAGGAGGAGCAGGAGGAGGAGGAGGAGGAGGAGGAGGAATAGGAGGAGGCAGAGGCAGAGGCAGAGGCAGATGCAGAGGAGGAGGAGGATGAGGAGGACGAGGAGGAGGAGCAGGAGGAGGAGGAGCAGGAGGAGGAGGAGGAGGAGGAGGAGGTGGAGGAGGAGGAGGAGCAGGAGTAGGAGCATGAGGAGGACCAGGAGGAGGTGGATGAGGAGGAGGAGCAGGAGGATGAGGAGGACGAGAAGGAGGAGCAGGAGGAGGAGGAGGAGGAGAAGGAGGAGGATATTCCGTTTACACGTCGTTGCATTTCTTGGGGCAGCCAGAGGCCTCCAAAGGCCTTCTTGCACCTCTTGTAGCATCCAGGCTCTGGAGATCTTTTGGAGGCCTTTGGAGACTCCCCTCCCTCCTGGACTTCGCCGACTCAGAAGAAGCCCTGACAGAGGCTTGTCGTAATCATCCGAGCCCTTCTGCAAAACAACTCGCAATGGAAAGCTGGCCCTAGGGGGAGGGGTCGAGAGCTCTGGGGGCCAGCGAATCGAAGCATCGGATGGCCGGATGTCTCAGTTCTCCTCCGTCCTCGAAGATCGATGCTTTTGGGCGCTTTGAGGCTGGATACTTCCTCTTCTGCCGACCTGCATAGCACTTGAAGTCCCAGGCTTCTGGCGCCAGGCTTGTGCGCCAGACTTGGATCTCAATGGCTTCAGGCTCCTGTCGCCAGGCTCTTCACCTTGCCGTGTCCGCTCCCGTCTCCCAAATTCCGCTGACGAGGATGCTGGAACACTGGATGCACTTGGAATCTGGAAGGGTACATACGTACCGCTCCGTTTCGGCCCACCGGAAGACTGAAGCGCCCTCCCGAGATTTCTGGGGGGCCTCCAGGAGCCCCCAGGCCCCTATGCCGACTAGTCATTCGCATTTGCGCGCTGGAGGTTTCTCTCGCCACTTTCGGTCTCCGGTGGGACCTCCTCCCGACCCAGGAGCGCCAGAACATGGCCTCGGGTGACGAAGCCGGCCTCTGCCCCTTCCGCGGGGGCCGAGAGCTCCAGAGGGGGCCCGACGTCCCGACTGGACCGCGTCGTCAGGTCTGGACGACGTCAGCATCGTTGACCCGACCCCCATCCCCATCCCCATCCCCTTCGAGAGCCCCAGCACATCCCCCCCCCAGTTGGGGAGACACCCCTCGAAGCCCGAAGGGCACGGCCCACATATCCCCATCCGAGGGGGGTACCTCGGCCAGTGGGGCCCGGGCCACGCCGCCGGGGATGGGGATCGGATAAACGATACTCACGACGCCAACCCGACGTTCACCGCCCACCAAACCACCCCAACCCAACCCGAAGGCCCCGATTTGCCCTTCATTTCCAGTTGGGGGGGGGGTCGGGGAACGTTGAGAAAACACATATGGAGCCCGTACCCCCCCCAACCCGAAATTCGGGTCTTCGGGTTGGGTTGGGGTGGTCTGGTAGGTAGTCAGCTGGGGATGGGGATCGGACAAACGATGCTCACGACGCCAACCCGACGTGGGGCACCTCCCGCGCCTGCCCTGGCCCTCCGCGCAGGCGCTGACCGTGGCCCCCGCGCGGTACTGCCGGGCCGCGGCCGCCGCCGCTGGCCCGGCCGCTGGCCGCCGGCTCGGCCGCGGCGGCCGCCGGCGCCGCGCGCGCGAGGCCTCCTCGTGCGAGGTGCGCTTCGACGGGCGGGGCGCCCCGATCACCGTGGCGCTGCGGCACCTCCGGCCCGAGAGGCCCTGGCGCCCCGCCCCCTCCTGCCGGCTGCCAGGGTCGAGCGGGGTGGTCTTCTTCCTCTTCCTCCTCCTCCTCCTCCGCTGGTCGGACGGGGCTGGGGCGAGGATCGATCCGTTCCAGAGCGTTCCGGAGCGCTCTGAGAAGGCCGCGGCGCCCGAGACACCCTGCAGAACCACCGGGTCTCAGAGATTCTCGATTTGTCCTCGCCCGAGTTTGTCCTCGTTCTGGCTTCGTCTTGACGGGAGCGAGGAGCGAGGCCTCTTTTGTATGTTCTCTTTGGAGGGGCGCTCTGGGTTGCCCTCGAGGCCACGGCAGGGTGAGGGCACGAGGAGCTGCCCAGCATGGGCCGTGCGAGCAGGTTTTGGGCGGTAGGCTACGCCACCCGAGGGGGCGCGGACATGGTCGCGCTTCACGCCTCGCGGTCAGGGCCAGAGATGTGGAAAGCGCGCCATTCGGTGCCCGGGTGCTTGTAAAGGGGGATGGTGTGCTCGCACAGAACCCCCCTTGGGGGGGGGGGTAGATTTTCGACCCCCCCCCTTAAGGAGGGGGCAGGATTTCGGACAGTCCCCCTTCCGATGGAAAGGGGGCGCGGGGGAGACTTCGGACCCCCTCCCTCCCTTCCTTGGCGCCGAACAGGGGCCTGGGGAGGGGTCGTCTCCCGTATTTTTTTTTTTCGCCGGAGACGGTGGGTCCTTTTTTCGCCGGAGACGGTAGTAAGTAGTGAGTAATGCGTAGTGAGTAGTGGGTAGAGAGTGATGAATAGTCAGTAGCGAACAGGGAATAGCGCGTAGTGGGTAGAGAGTAGTAAGTAGAGAGTGTAGTGAGAAATGAGTAGCGAGTGAGTAGTGAGTAGGCGGTAGCGAGTAAGGAGTAGCGAGTAGGGAGCAGTGAGTAGCGAGTACTGGGCAGGGAGTAGGGAGTAGGGGGTAGTGCGCAGTGGGTAGTAAATAGTGAGTAGTGAGTGGTGAGTAGTTTGTAGTGTGTAGTGAGTAGTGGGTAGTGAATAGTGAGTGGTGAGTAATGAATAGTGAGTCGTGAGTAGGGAGTAGGGGGTAAAGAGTCGTGCGTCGTGAGTGCTGAGAAAGGAGTAGGGAGTAGTGAGTAGTGAGCAGTGGGTAGTGAGTATTGAGTAGTGTGTAGTGAGTAGTGGGTAGCGAATAGTGAGTAGTGAGTAGTGAGTAGTGGGTAGGGGGACACGAGGAACGAATAGTACGTAGTGAGAAGTGAGCACCGAATAGGGGGTAGGGAGTAGTGGGTAATGAGTAGCTAGTAGTGGGTAGTGAGCACTGGTTACTGATTAGTGAGTAGTGAGTATCGAGTAGTGAGTATCGAGTAGGGGGTAGCGATCAGGCAGTAGTGCGTGGTGATTGGTGAATCGTGAGTAGTGCGTATCGCGTGGTGCGTAGTGAGCAGTGAGTAGCGGGTCGGGAGTAGCGAGCGGTGGGTAGTGGGTGGTGAGTAGTGGGTAGTGAGTAGTGATTAGTGGGTAGTGAGTAGTGACTAGGGAATGTTGAGTAGTCATTACTGAATAGTGATAAGTGAGTCGTGAGTCGTGAGTGGTGGGTGGTGCGTTTGTGTAGGGACTAGAGTGTATGGGGGTCGGGGTAGTGAGTAGTGAGTAACGAAAAATGAGTAGTGGGTAGTGAGTTGTGAGTGGTGAGTAGTGCTTAGTGAGTAGTGAGTAGTGAGTTGGGAGCAGTGAGAAGTGGGGAGTGGGTAGTGAGTAGGGGGTCGGGAGCGGGGATTAGGGAGCAGGGAGTAGAAAGTATTGCGTCGTGAGTAGTGATTAGGAAGTACTGAATAGTGAGTAGTGAGTCGCTAGTAGTGGGGTTAATAGTGGGTAGTGGTTCGTGGGTTGTGAGCAGTGAGTAGTGAATAAGGAGTCGTGAGTAGGGAGTAGTAGGTCGTGCGTAGTGAGTAGTGGGTAGTGGGTAGTGAGTAGTGGGTAGCGAGTCGTGGTTAGGGAGTAATGAGTAGTGGGTTGTGAGTAGTGAGCAGGGGCAGGGTGTACGGATTCGGATTCGAGTTTCGGGTTATGGGGTTCGGGTTTTGTGTTGGGGTTCAGTTTTTGGGAGCAGGGTTAGGGGTTAGGGTTAGGGTCGGGGGTTAGGGTAAGGGTGAAGGTTAGGGTTAGGGGTGGTAGGGATCGGGTTCCAGAGCCAGGGGGCGGCGTGGCGAAACGGGGGGAGTGGGGGAGGGGCACAAATTTCCAGTCCAAGGGGGGGGGGCGGTGGGGATCCAGACGATGACGGACCGGGAAAATGGGGGGGGCCCAGCCAACGACGGATCGGGAAAAGGGGGAGTTTCGCCGACGACAGACCGGGGATCGAGGGGAGAGGGGGGGGGTCCATACCCCCTCCCCCTTTGGGGCATCCAGCGGCGCGCCCTCTAATGTGCCCTTCTCCCCATGGTGTGCATGCAGGGGCCATCTTCAGGCTTCAAGTCGAACTGGAAGCGGAAATGCGAGACTGCAAAAACCAATGATTTCTGATGTGTTTTTCGTTTGATTCTCCAAGCAGCGCTTGCTTGCACCGAGGGTTTGTTAATTGTGTTCCAAGGAACTAGGCCTGCGGGCTGTTCTGGCCGTCGCAGTCCCGTCGCCGCCTCGTCGCCGCCCGTCGTCTGAGCCTGTGGGCCAGTCTGGGTGGCTCTGTAGTCGCCGTCGCCGCCTCGTCGCCGCCTCGTCGCCTAGATTGCACAACGTAGATTCTCCTTTCTAAACAAAAGTTAGTATCTACCTCCTCTCCCGGACTTAGCGGTACACTTGTTGGTTTGTCCGCGTTGCAATTTGCATATGATTCTGCCCCATCGCCCACTCTAAATATGAGTTCGTACCATCCCATGCAGGCAGGGTCCGACTCCCTGTCATCCTGTGCAACATGTAATATGCGCGCACATTCGTTTATCGAATCTCATCTGCTTTTCAAAACGGGACGAAGTGCACACGCGCGCACTGTCGTGCGCGCGTGCCGAAATCTTTCAACAATTTTCGGGTTTCCAAGGATTTCAACATCGAAATTCACGAGCACATGTTAAATCACACATGGTTTCGCAAGAAGGCTTAACAACAAAAAACTGCGCGCGCTCTTGCGAACTGTTGAGAAACCATCGGTTTTTCAACATGTTCATAAAGTGCTACCAGACTGGCCTTTCGCGCGCGCGTGCCGAAATCGTTCGAACGCCCTTGCGCGCGTGCTGTCGCAATAATCCCTGGCAGCAAACGAGACGAAGTTCACACGCGCGCGTCCGCGCGCCTCGTCGCGCGCGCATGCCAACATCGCTCAAGAACCTTAAGTCTCGCAGGCATTTCAAAAACGAGTGTCACGAACACATAAAACACATTGTTTTTCAACATCAGTTTTTAAACTCATCCTGTGCTCGCGGCCTTGCGGGTTTGTGAGGAAACCATCGGTGGGTGTGATTTTTGCAGGGGTACTGGATATGTCAAGTCATTTATAAACGGCGAGACGTTCGGTATCGCGTCCTCGGGAAGGCTGTGAAGGAGGACGAGGTCTAATCGCACTTGTCTGGCGGGCGCGTCTTCCAGAGCTGGCCCAGCGACGAGAGCAGCGCCGGCCGCGCGAGCATCGGTGGCGATGGCAGCAGTGGAGGTAACAACTCCAGTTTCAAGCAGGTCGCCGCGCTCCTCAACAATGGTTGACGTTGCTGCCGAGATTAAACGTCGCCAGGATAAGGTGATCGAGTTACTTCAAAGAAGACCAGCAACGATTCTATGACTATGACCTCCAGAAGAGTGCTGGACCTTCCCCACAGTCGCATATGAAAGCGCTGCTGAAGAATTTGAGTGAGTCCAAAGAGCCGATGGCCCCCCACCTGGAGCCTGGGAAGGCGAACCCGCTGAGTACAATAACTTCATGGCACTCCTGAAGACGGTGAGAGCCCACCCCATGGCTGGCGCTGGAGCGGACGATATTGAGACCCCGTTCGCCGAGAACGCAGCCACGCAAGCCATGAAAGGCTGGGCCTAGAAGCTCGTGCCCAAACTCAATGTGCACGACTTCCCTAGCGCCCGCGAGGAGCCGCTGCTGGCAGAAAACTCGGGGGGGGGGCACTGGCGGTTTTCCTACCCGTCCTCCCCCCCTCTGACAGCCAGGGGGGGTCACTGTTGGTTCGAACCCCTTCCGGTTCGAACCCCCCGCCCCCGTCGGGACAGTAGTTGGGACGGTGGTGGGGATGGTGGTGGGGAGTGGGGGCAGTTGGGAGAGTGGTGGGGACAGTGGGGGCAGTGGGACAATGGAGGGGACACTGGGAACAGTGGGACAGGATAGCGGTGGGGACAGTGGGGACATTGGGACAGTGGTGAGGGCACTGGGGACAGTGGGACAGTGGTGGGACAGTCGTGGGGACAGTGGTGGGGACAGTGGGGACAGTGGGGAGAGTGGGACCCGTGGTGGGGGCAGTGGTGGGGACAGTGGGGACAGTGAGACATTGGTGGGGGCACTGGCGGGGTCAGTGGGGACAATGGTGGGAACAGTGGGGACTGGAACAGTGGTGGGGACAGTGGGGGCAGTGGGACAGTGGTGGGGACGATGGTGGTGGGGACAGTGGTGTGGGGTCAGTGGGACAGTGGTGGGGACAGTAGGGACAGTGGGACAGTGGTGGGGACGGTGTTGGCGGGGACAGTGGTTGTGGACAGTGGGACAGTGGTGGGGACAGTGGAGACAGTGGGGACGGTGGTGGTGGGGACAGTGGTGAGGGCGGTGGTGAGGACGGTGGTGAGACAACGCGACAGTACTACAGTAGGGACAGTGGTGTGGAGTGGTGGGGACAGCGGGGACAGTGTGAAGGTGGTGGGAACAGTGGGACAGCTCAGTGGGACAGTGGCCGGGACAGTGGGGACAGTGGGACAGTGCCGGGGACACTGGGGACAGTGGGACAGTGGCGAGGACAGTGAGGACAGTGGTGAGAGTGGGACCGTGGTGGGGACAGTGGTGGGGACAGTGGGGACAGTGCGACAGTTGTGGGGGCACTGGTGTTGACTGGGGACAGTGGTCGGAACAGTGGGAGCAGTGGGACGGTAGTGGGGACGGCGGTGGTGGGGACAGCGGTGAGGGCGGTGGTGAGGACGGTGGTGGGGACCTGGGTGTCAGTCGTTTGCCGGCGGCGAGTGGGGGGGTGGGGCTCGAACCGGCAGTGACCCCCCCCCGTTTTCTGAAGGGAGGGGGGTTCGAAGCGGCAGTGATCCCCCTGGTTTTTCGGAGGCTTTGGGGGGTTGGGGGGTTCGGGGGGAGGAGGGGTTCTGCCAGGGTAAGGGAGAGGGGGAAGTTTCGAGCAGGGGAGGGGGATTTTCGGGGGGGGAGCCCCAGGTTCCCTAGCAAGAGGGGGGGATTTTTCACGCTTTCTCTCGGACATACGCCTATACACATATGACCGCCGATGCCGTCGGATGCTCGCGAAGTTTTTTGGTGCCTATGGATTCCTTCGGCCTGACTGCAGACGTACTCGCGTGGCTGTTGGAGGATGCCGCACCTTGGAGAACCCTCCGTGGAGTGCGAGAGTCGCCGTAGGCATCACGCGCGGCGGACATGACTCCTTCTCTTGAGACTGCCACTTGAACACGGGTGGGGAGTGGTAGTAGTAGAGATTATGATGTCTGCCCTGATGTTTTTCGATGCTGCTGACGTTCTGGAGTATCACGTTGTGTTTCAGTATAGTACGCCACAATTGTTTGAACTCGCCCGATGGACTCGTATGATGTGCCTCGTATGTGCCCTCGTAATGTGTATGCCTGTTTTTTCACATAATTGTGTGTGATACTGTCCGCTCCCACAGCTTGACGTATCAGGACCTGGATCATCATGTTCTCGGGCCAAATGCCTCTTCAGGTGATTCTCCCAAGCACTGGCGGACATTGAGGCTGCATTTCAAACGCGGCTTGTTCCTCACCTGCAGCCTTTGCTGCCCCTGATGTCTGTCTTTGGTAGCTTAAAGCTCGGGGAGTTTTTATTACCCCAGTAATAAAGGAGTTTTCCAGGAATCCAGACGAGCACTTGCAGCATCAGCTGGCGATGCTTCCCTCATTCTGTCCTTTCTCCTGCTTTCTTCTATCCTCCGTAGTCATTTGCCTCAAGTGGCCCGTGCGGGCCGCAGGGGGAGTGCAGACTTGAACGGATGCTTCACTTCGCATCTTTTGGAGCCTTCTGTGCAGTGTTCAGGGGGGCAAAGACCCCAATGCAGAGTCCAGGGGGCTTGATGTGGAATGGTAAAGATAAGCCGTATCATCATTATCCTTGCCGTCAAACAGTGCCTCGAAAGAGCGTTTGGTGGCAAACTACTGGGTATCAGCCGAAACAGCTCTATGAATATTCTGAGTTAAGGGACTTCGCTGCAGTGGCTACACCGGCTACGACACATGGGCGACGAGTGCACCATAGACGGTCACCGACAGCCATGCAGCGACGTTTGGAGAACAAGCAGGAACGCTTCTCAGCTCGTCAGGTCGTGCACGAAGAGCCCCATTCGCAAGACAAAGCGGAGGAGCTCATGAAAGCCATCCTGAATCTCAAGAACGAGGTCAACGGTGTGCTTGATCTCGCAAACAAGAACTTGAAGGCGTCGCAGGAGAGCTTGTGCACGATGCAGAACTCGCTCGACGATTGCTTCAAGATGCCCGGCGCTACCGAGGCGCCGAGCGCCGCCGATGCTGCCCCCGGCCGAGCCGTGGTGGCCAACGCACCTGGCCAAGCCGTGGTGGCGGGCGCAACCGCTCCTCCAGACGCTTTCGGCCAGCCCGAAGGCGTCGCCGCTGTTGCCAGCCAGACTGACGGCTGCGGGGAGAGAAGTGCAGAGGCCCGAGAAGACGCGCGCAATCGGCGACAACTGACTGTGCGGCGTCCAGGGGGCGCCATCTACTTCGAGATCGGTTCGGGCGCCGAGAACGAGGAGCAGCGCGAGGTTGCCCTCGATGCCGGGTGCGCTGCAGTGGCTGCGCCTGCCCTGGATCCAAACCACAAGCCCCTCTTCGAGAACCGCCCGCTCCCTGGGCCGGGATGGGTCCGCGTTCGAGATGCATTTCATTTTCGAGAGCCTATTGCTGGTGATAGTGTTGTAATTTTCTCTCCAGATCCGTGCGCTGACGAACGAACTGGAACGTTGGTTCAGAGAAATACCTCGTCCTGGATGAAAGACTGTGATGACGGTTGCATGGGGGACGTACTTGTTGCCGACGGCGCTCAGGACTGGTGGGGGAAAGAGACTGGCTGGCACGAGAAAGAGTTCGTGATCCTCTTTCATCCTGAGAGCGCGCCGAGATACGCGAGTGAGTGCGCAGCACTCGTCGAATCCGCTGGACAGGGGCAGTTTTTATTACCCCAGGAATAAATGAGTTTCCCAGGAATCCTGACGAGCACTTGCAGCATCGGCTGGCGATGCTTCCCTCATTCTGTCCTTTCTCCTGCTTTCTCCTATCCTCCGTAGTCGTTTGCTTCAAGTGGCCCGTGCGGGCCGCAGGGGGGGGGGGTGTGCAGACTTGAACGGATACTTCACTCCACATCTTCTGGAGCCTTCTGTGCAGTGTTCAGGGAGGCAAAGACCCCAATGCAGAGTCCAGGGGGCTTGATGTGGAATGGTACAGATAAGCCGTATCATCATTATCCTTGCCGTCAAACAGTGCCTCGAAAGAGCGTTTGGTGGCAAACTACTCGGGGGGCAGGAGAAGCTATCTGCTCTGGGACCGCCAATGCTGGCCAGTGCTAGCAGCTCCCGTGCGGCAGCGATCAGGACAAGGGGCGTGGTGGGGGAAAACACACACAGACACAATTTATCGTCGATTCCCAGGGAAACGTGGAAAAATATCGGCACTCCTTTGATGTGTGTGCATTTATCTGTGTGTCCCAGGGCCCCTTCAAGGGGGCATGGCGGGGAAGGGGGCGAGCAGGGCGCCTGCTCCCTCGGCCCATGATGTCATTTGCCATCCTGCATCCTACGGCCGTGCCAGCAGCGGCAGGGGCAGGGCGAGGAGCAGGACGAGGAGGAGGAGGAGGAGGAACAGGAACAGGAACAGGAACACGAGGAGCGTGCGTGGCAGGAGGGCGACGCGAGCGGCGCGCGCACGAAGCGGCGCGCCCGCCGCAGGCTCGCCCCGCGGGCCGCCGCCGCTGCCCCGCTGGAGCCGGCGGCGCGCGCGCCGGAGCCCAGGTCGTGGCCCTCCTGCCTCCCCTTTTTCCTCCTGCTCCTCCTTCTTCTCCTGTTCCTCCTGCTCCTCCTCGTCCTCGTTGTTCTCCCCGCTCCCCCCCGTTCCCCCCCGAGTGCTGCTTCTGGTGCTGCCTCTGTTCTCCCCCCCCCCCCCGCCCCTCCTCCTCCCTCCTCGCCGCCTTCCTTCGAGCGCTGCTCTGGCGCTGCCGTCTTTCCTCCTCTCCCTCCTCTTCTCCTATTTTCCTCCTGCTCCTGCTCCTCCACTTCCTTCCTCCCTCCCCTTTTCTCCTTTCGCCCCCGCCTGTTCCCCAGGCCGCCGGAGCTTTTGGGTTATTGCACGAAGCCTCACCCTTTTCGCATTTCCGCTTTTGCAGCGATTCCTGTTACGTCCGTGTGGATATCGAGGTCCTCTAGGACAGCGCAGTCCGCGGGTCGAGCAGGATTCAACGCAGTGGTAAAGGATGGAGTGGAGGGGTAGGATGTCGATGTGGCGCGTGCGCGCTGAGCTGATATTCTGTCAACTGTTTCGTCTTCCTCTTCTTCGTCTTCCTTCCCTCCTGTCTCCACCTCTTTTTCGTTTCTTCATTCCTCGCTTCTCTCTCCCGACTGTTTTCTCCTCTTTCATTGTATCTTTTTCGTCACTTACTCTTTGTGACTACTATTCTCGCCTCTCGCTCGCCTCTCGCCTGACACAACCCAGCGTTGATATTGCCTTTCTCGCGCATTCGGTTGATTTCACAGACGCATTGCTTCATTATAAGATTAGTTGCACGGTCTTTCTTCTTCGATCGGTGCTGTGTTCCTGTCGGCGCTGTGTTCCCGTCTGAAGGAACTGCGCTCTCGCCTCAGCGTGAGCCACATTTCCAGGTCCGAGGCGTTCCTTGTCGTTGCCGTTCCCTCCTTTCCCTTCCTCCATCTTCTCCCGATCTTCCTCCTCCTCCTGCTTCTTTTTCCTTGCTCCCCTTGTTCCTCCTCCTCCTCCTCCTCCTTCTCCTCCCCATCCGCCTCCTGCTTCTCTCCCCCATCTGGGGCAAGTGCCGTCCTTACCGATTGCGCAACAAACGGCGGGTCAGCGCCTGGCTTCCATTCGGGCTTCACGATCCTCCAGGACGTCCCGGCCGGTGGATAGACAACGACTCAACGCAACGGGTGGGAGGGGTCGGAGGTATCATGTGGCGCGAGCGCACTTCGCTCGCCTCTGCATTCTTGCCTCCTCATCCTCTCTTCCTCGTCCTGTCCCCTCCCCTCCCTCCCTCGCCGCGCCCCTTCCCTTTCCTCCTCCCTCCCCTCCCTCCCCGTCCTCGTCCTCCCTCCCCCCCTCTGGCTGGGCGCGCCCGGCCCTCCCTCCTCCCCCGTCCCCCCCCCCTCCCCTCGGCGGCCGCCCGCAGCCGCAGCCTCCGCCCCCTCGGCCCCGCGGTCCGTGGCCCGACCGCCCGCCCACCCGCCCGCCCCTCTCGTGCTCCTCCTGCTTCCTCTGCTGCGCGTCCTCCACCTCCCCCCCCCCCGCCTCCTCATCTACGGGGCGTGAGAACGACCACAGCCGCTGCTTTTCTTTTGTTGCCGCCTTCCAGCCCGGAGAAACAGAACAGTGGTTGTGGTCATTCTCGTTGAGTTTGGCACCAGGGAACTGACCACAACCACTGCTTCTTTTTCGGCCGGCTGGCAGGCGGCGCAAACAAGAAGCAGTGGCTGTGGTCATGTTCCTGTCCCGCATCATCCTCCTCCCACAGTGGAGGCCCCTGCCAAGAAACACCATGATGGCCTCCAGGGTGCCCAGGGCTTCCTGGGTCTCGATGGTTTTTGCGGTGGACGGCGCGACGTTCCCACACCGACAATCGAGGGACGTCTTGGGGTCTCAGGCTGGGTTTCCTGTGGAAGGTTTCTTGTGGACTGGCCTCCACTGTACCCTCTCCCCCTTCGCCCCGCTTGGATCTTGTCAAGATTGATAAGGGCGGGTGCCTCAGAGCCTCTTCTGCACATCAGAGGCGCGCAACCCTAGCAGTGTATGACACCCAGCGCAGGCAGCACCATTGGTCGATTGAGTTTGTCACGTCCGTCGGCAGTGCAGCCCAGTGCGCTTAGCTGGTATTCTTGGTCCCCTCATCACTGATTTCTCTGGAGGAGGAAGAGAAGCTGGCGGAGGAGGAGCAGGAGTGAGGAGCCTCGCTCGGACCTTTCCAACCCTGCCCGCCAGGCGGTTCTCGCCGCGGGGCGGCGGCGTGCTGGGGGCGGTCGAACCAAGCGGCATGCCCGCGCTCACCGCGGGGGTCGATCCGTGGGAGTGGCTGCACGGAAGAGGCGGCCGCCTTTGTTGGGAGGCGCGGTCCAGGAGAGGGGTTTCTGATGATGATGGTGATTAATGATAATGCTGATGCTGATGCTGATGCTGATGCTGATGCTGATGCTGATGCTGACGATGCTGATGCTGATTCTTCTGCTGATGATGGCGATGACGGCGAGGCTGTGGACGGTGGTGATGATGATGATACTGAGGCTGCTGCTGATGATGATGATGATGATGATGGCAATGCTGGCGATGATAAGGATGAGGATGAGGATGAGGATGAGGATGATGATGATGCTGATTATGATGATGATGATGATGGTGGTGGTGGTGATGATGCTGCTGCTGATGATGATGCGGACGGAAGGGGTGGTTATGATGGTCATGATCACGATGATGACGATGGTGATGAAGATGGTACTACTACTACTACTACTGCTGCTGCTGCTACTACTACTACTACCACTAATGATGATGATGATGATAATGATGGTAATGAGGATGCCGAGAATTGCGATGACGGCGCTGCTGGGTATGATGATGATGATGATGATGATGATGGCGATGCTGGCGATGATGAAGATGAGGATGCGAGATGGTGCTGATGATGCTGATGATGGTGATGGTGGTGATGATGATGCTGCGGCTGATGCTGATGACGATGATGATGCTGCTGTTGATGTTGATGATGCTGCTGATGATGCTGATGCAGTTTCTGTTGATGATGCTGCTGATGATGATGCTAAGGATGCTGAGGTCTCTGATGATGAGGAGGAGGATGCTAATGCTGATGCTGGCGATGATGATGATGATGATGATGATGATGATGATGATGATGATGATGATGATGATAATGACGGTCATGGTGACCATGATCATGAATATGGTACTACTGGTGATGCTGATGATGATGATGATGATGATTCTGATTCTGATGATTCTAATGATGGCGATGATGTCGATGTCGGGGATGAGGAGGATGCTGTGGATCATGATGATGATGATGATGATGGTGATGATGGCGATGATGAGGATGAGAATGATGAGGGTGATGAGGATGATGATGATGCTGATGCTGATGATGATGCTGGTGGTGTTAATGATGATGCTACGGATGCTGATGATGCTGATGATGATGATGAGGGTGCTGATGCTTCTGATGATGATGTTGACGATTCTGATGACGATGATGGTGACTATGGTACTAATGATGATGATGATGATGATGATGATGATGATGATGATGATGATGATGATGACGATGGTGCTGCCGATGATGATGCCGATAATGATGATGATGATGCTGATGATGATGATGATGATGATGATGATGATGATGATGATGATGATGGTGGTGGTGGTGATGCTGATGATGGCGACGATGGCGATGTCGGAGGTGGAGAGGAGGCTTATGATGCTGATGATGGTGCTGTTGCGAATGCTGGTGATGGTGATGCTGATGATGCGGCCGATAAGGAATGTGGTTGTTGTGATGATGCTAACGATTCTGATGACGATGCTCATGATTAACATGGTAATACTCTCAGTGTTGACGACGCTGATGACGTGGATGACGTGGATGATGATGATGATGATGATGGTGATGATGATGATGATGATGATGATGATGATGATGCGGATGATGATGTTGATAATGTTGACGATGCTGGTCATGATGATGGTGATACTGATGATGATGATGATGATGATGATGATGATGCTGATGATGATGATTGTGATGATTGTGGTGATGATTGTAGTGATGATGATGCTGGTGGTGATGATGTTGTTGATGCTGATGCTGCTACGGATGCCAGCGTTGCTGATGATCATCTGATGATGATGCTGCTGCTGCTAATCAGGATGGCGACAGTGTTGATGGTGGTGATACACGTTTATACTAATGATGCTGCTGCTGATGATGATGCCGATGCTGGTGATGCTTCTGATTGTGAGGATGGTGGTGATGGTGATGACGATACTGATAGTGCTGATGATCAGGACAATGATGATGATGTTGATGATGTGGATTCTGATGGTAATGGTGGTGATTACGATGCTGTTTCTGGTTATGATGATGTTGATGCTGATGAAGGTGATTCTGAGGATGCTGATGATGCTGATACTGGCGATGCTGGCGGTGATGGCGATGCTGGGGATGGAGATGATGATGATGCTGATGATGATGATGGTGGTGATG